CGAAGTACACACCACCGCCCGTGGAGAACGATCCAAAGCAAGCAATGGTCGAGAAGCAACAAGCTTCTGCACCCATCGCTTCTACCCAACCGAAGGAGACAAACCCGGACCAAGACACCGATCCAGTGACTAAAGCAATCGAGGAGTCTGCGACAGCCGAGTAAACATACTCGCATCAACAATCAGAACTACGAGATGGCTTGATTACCGAAAGGAATACGTAGGCAGCTCGCCTAAAGACGAGTTCAGCTATCCCCCTTTCCAAAATGAGGGGGGCAGTGGGTGTGTATACGACTATTCGTATACTCCCAAATTTTAAAACATTCACTTTGTAATCGAAAATTTTGAAACATTTTAATAAAGGCAAAGTTAGAATATTTCAAAATCTCCGCTACTATCGAAAAGCATAAGAACAAATTCAAAACATCCGGAAATTACTTCCGCAGTAACAACTACTTAATCGTCTATACAAAACTTATACACCAAAATATTTTAACCGGCGAGACATCGCCTAAGTCTTAGAAAAATATTTAACAAAAGTCCGTCCGCGACTATAAAATCACAAACGCTCGGCAATTGGCCCCGTCGAGCACGCTAGTCGTCCTAAGCAAACGCACCGACCCATTGGTCCACAAACATCCGACTAGAATAAAATAGCGCGCTATAAAAGAAATCCAAATTTTTGGTCAGCACTTGCGGGCAACTTAGAAATTGTTCCCGGTGAGATGCTCGGTTCCAACCAGACGAATCGTATAAGCCGAGAACCTATCGCGGATTCTATATCGGTATGGAATCAGGTTAAAATCACAACAGGCAAAACGAAAGCCGCCTAGTCATCGCATAGCCTCAATCCGAAAGTAAACCTAGGTCTTGCCTTAAACTCAGCACACTGGTCTCTAACGTCTCAAGGCATGAATTGGAATCCTAAAGGCACGTCTCTTCGCCCACATCTAAACACTCCGAGTAAACGAACCGGACGATCTACACCAAGAGTTGGATGCGAGACGACAACTCGTATTCTTCCCTCTACATCTAAAACAAAACGCATATTTCATACTTAGAAAATATTTTATTAAAAAAAATTCATGCATACCACCCAGCGGCAGGGATTCAAAGCCACCAACGGCCAGTCCCAGAAAACTACAGCAATATCATGAAACAAGAACATCATACATCAAAATCATCAAATACGGACGCCGAGCTATGGCCAACGTTAGTATCAATCCACGGTTGATCAACTTCGTCACATGCGTCCGGAATCCCATGCCCAACTTCAACCGAATCCGGCGACATGACAATGGGATTCCACTGCTCCCACATGCGCACCCCGGGGTTAACAAACTCGGCTTTCTTCCTCTCTCGTTTAGCCAAGCGCGTTTTATGTTTCGTAGGTGAGAGGCAAACCGCCAACTACACCCTGGCATTCGTGATAGTCGCCACCCTTTGCGCATCCTCAAACTCCGCATAAAGAGGCACAAACCGTTCGCGGCGAGCCATCATCTCTGCAAAACTTCTCTTTTGCCCGCTCTACGGGAACGACGAACCATCGTGTCAGAAAGCTCAAGAACGCGACGAGAATCAGCCTCATATTCTTCCCTCACACGGGCAGCCTCCTTTCTAGCTAAGTCTTGGGCGCAAGAGAGATTGGCATCGACCTCTTCCTTAAGACGAGTAGCCTCCATCTCCGCCGCCTTTGTCCTAGATTCAGCCTTATGAATCTCTGCACTACTTGCGTTCACCGCGTACGAAGCAAGGAAAGTCTTGTGTCAAAAACCAATCTGGCCGTACGTAAAACAAATACGAAAGTTGGCAAAAAACTGACCTTGTTAAAAAGCCTCAATGCCTTCGAAAACGACGTATCGGCTGGTGCCCCAGACGATGCCTCGGCCAGATCAAATTCAGGGAAGGGAGCCGAGAAGTCGATGAAATCCTCGATGTTGATATCATCGTCAAATATTCAACCTTGATCAATCGGAACTTCTCTATCATGCGGAGATCTAGACCTCTCCTGCGCTTCTGCACCATCATCTACCTCAACCTTGACGCGGTCATACTAAGAAAAACCGGATGAATAATAGGCGACGGCACGATGAATTCTTTTCGGAGAAAAATATCTCCAATAAAACGGACCGCCACGAAGAAGACTCATAACCATCTCGAGATCTCCGAGTAATGGTGTATAAGGGGTAGACACTGCAAGACGCAAATCGCACGCAAAGATTAAAATGCGGCAAAAATATATACATATACCATGCAAACGAAGTACCATTCGTCGCCCATTCGGTCCTGAAAAAGGGAATACAACTCTCTTCCACCGACGCGCTATTGATTTTGACATAGAAAAACCAATCGTTCCACTCATGATCATTCGAGGCAAGCCCGCCGATAACCGTCATATTCTGCCGAGGGGATAGATAGAAACCGCCCCCTTTTATGCGCTTGACAGCCAGCATAGCCAAAAGATAATCTGCATCGAGAGATATTCCGCGCTCATAACCTAGTACCAAAATCCCAACAAGATGCTGCAACCCGGTGGGACGAAGCTGACTAAACGATATGTTGAACCTTTCAAAAGCTCAATAATGGCTCGCGAAATAGGAAACCATAATTGACAGTTCAACAGAAAAGCTTCGTAACACGTAAAATAACCCATGGAGGATTCTTGGCATCCTGACCCCGTACAGGGAGGCAAAACTGTACCGATTCAGGGATCACACGAGAATTCCTCAAATCCCCGAGGGAACAAATGGTACTCACACTCGGACTACCCGCATTCCTCTGAAGCTTATCCCTCTTTGGAACCCATAAGCCAGGAGAGGGAACATCGGCAACACCTACAGCTGACCAATATTTCGCGGTTTCTTTCTTGTTCATAAGAAAACGCCGGAAGATCGGCCTGGGAAGGGGACAGCCGCTAGAAATATCAAGGTCACTTGGGTTAAAGATTTACGCATGAGCACGTTCCGAAACCTTCCACTCAGAAGACATGATAATCAATCAAGAGAGGGAAAAAGATTCAAAGGGAGAAAAAGAGAGAAAATTTCTTGAACCTTGAATAAGTTATGAGAGGAAGTGAGTAAAGAACTTGAAAACTTGCTCCATATACTTATAAGTAAAAGTTTTACTATTCACCTTTGGACTTTTGGCCATTAAGTTCCGCGTAATCCTACTAAACTTGTTGAACAAGTACGAACCGCTCGAAAGAACTCTACGATTCTTACGAGCTGGGGGGCTAACTGTTAGGGTCAAAATCGGTACGACGGAATCAACCACCAAAACTTTCCGCAAAATCAAAAATATGTTTTATAAAACTCGCAAAGCCGTTTTATAAAATACTAAGAAACTTCCGAACAAAGGAAACGCGCGGAAAAACTTGGAAAATCGTTATTTTGGAAAAAACAAACGAAACAAACACCGATTACACGATTGTTCGAGTTAAGCGCAAAACCGCAAAAAAAAACGCATCCGCCGTAAAACCGCGAGCAGGTTCGACCAAACCGAGTTCGACGTACGGCGAGCCGAACCAACCTGTTCAGCTCGCCGTACGGCGAACTGGTAGGTCTCGGACCAGCTCGCCGTACGGCGAGCTGGTTTGGCCAAACTAGCTCACTGTACGGCGAGCTAGGTGGCATCGAGCTAGTTCGACCAAACTAGCTCGCCGTACGGCGAGCTAGTCACTTCACGGATAGCTCGCCGTACGGCGAGCTAAACCAACCTGGTTCAGCTCGCCGTACATCGAGCTGACTGTCCCGAGCGTCGACCTTCCATATCCTCGATTCAAGGCGTACGTCCCTCGGCTCGATCGTGTTCGGAACCATGGTTGAAACGTCTCTCGTTTCGTCTCGATCCGTCATATCGTTCAAGTTTTACGATAAAAACCATAAAGTCTTGTTTTCCCGAAAGAACTCAAGGAAATCGTATAAAACAGAAACGGTTAGACGAAACACCGAACATTGTCAAATTATACGATTTACTGGAGATTTTTCATAAAAATCGTAAAAAACGCGTTTTTAATAAAACCTCGAGTAAATCGTAGAAAATGGCAACGATTAACCGAAGCATCGAATATTGCCAAACTTCACGATTAACTCAAGAACCTTATTTAAAAACGGCATCGCATCAGGAAACGATCTCGTATAAAGTCGTAAAACGGTTTCATCACAAAACGGCTCGAAAAGTCCTAAAACGCGATAAAAGCTTATCTCGCGACTTTAACGAAGTCTAGCCCAAAGATACGACGACGATTTAACGATTTACTCACACAAAGAAGATAAATGTCAAATCTGAAGATAAATGTTAAGTTTGAAGATAAATAGAAGATTTCCGCAGGAAAAAAAGAAAGATAAAGATAAATGGAAGATTCTCGATGAACTCGAATCTGGGCGAAATGGAAGGACTAAACCGCTTAGGAAGAAAGTATATAAGCAAGCGGCAGAGGACAGAAGCAAGGGATGATTTTCGAGAGCTTTCACCACCAGAAACTTAGCACTTAAGGTTTTTTGCGTTTTTGTTATCGAGTTGCGCCTCAACTAGGGTTTTAGTCTTAGACTGCTAGGGTTAGGATCTCGCCGACGGCTCATGTGGCTAAGGCTCGCTGTGGTTGTAACGTTCTTACGCAGATTCGGAATAAGACTCTTTTCGTTCTCAATCTCGATTTTCTTAACATCTTTTTATTTACTCATATTTATCGCGTTCTTGATTGTTCTTGTGCGGTTCCCCGCAGATAGCCGGGTCCTCAGGGAAGTTAGGATTTACTCTAAATTTCCTTATTTACGTAATCTTGACAGTAGGTGAATTTCGGTTCCCACAATTATAAGGTAGATTTTGTCAGCTAACTTCTAAACTCCATAAACCAATTAAACTGTATTGAACCGGAAATAAACCGGACAGATTGGATTCGGCTCAAAAACGAAGAAGACACGTGGCACTCTCTGTGGCTCAGAAAAATAATCCAAGAACCGTCTCAAGATCGGTCTTAACAAGAAAGTGTGAAACGTGAAGCAATGCCATCTACACACAAGAACCCTAAAAATTCCAGGAAGAAGTTAAAATCTCGAGTTGGGTTTCCTTAAAGTCACATACTTTCGATTTGGGTTTCATCGTACGAACACAACTAGAGATCGTGTGAGATCTGGTTCTCAAGCCTGGCAAAAGGGTCTCTCTTTCTGAAGAGAACAGCAATGTGTAGTTTGTCGCCGAGTCTACTGTTACCGACAAGGCTCAAACCAGGTTATTCAGACAGAAGGAGTAACAGTAGCAACTCACTCCTTGTCTCCAATGGAAGATCCAAGAGGAAGAACCAATGCATTGTTCCCGTAAGCAAATTCTGTTTCAAAATCTTATGTAATTCCACTGTCGTGAGAGGTTAAAAGATTGTAGCTTTTTTTATGTGGTGGCAGATGACAAGATTGTTTGGACCAGCGATTTTCGAATCATCAAAGTTGAAAGTATTGTTTGTAGGGGTTGATGAGAAGAAGCATCAACCAACGCTCCCAAGAACTTACACGCTCACTCACAGTGACATTACAGCTAAATTAACTTTAGCTATCTCTCACTCCGTTAACAACTCTCAGGTAAAAAAATAAAAGTTACCTTTCTCTGCTCTTCACATATTTACAGTATAAGCCTGTCTCTATATCTGCATTTGTGTAAAGACCAGAATATTACAGTAATTACACACTTTTTTCAATAGAAAAATGAGTTTTATTGCAGAACACTGATTAGTTTAGGCTTTTCTTGGTCTTAGCAATTTTAAGAGGTGTTATGAATGAATGTTGTATACAGTTGCAAGGATGGGCAAATAAGCTATACAGAGATGAAGTGGTAGCAGAATGGAAGAAAGTAAAAGGGAAAATGTCGCTTCACGTTCATTGTCATATAAGCGGTGGACATATCCTTTTAGATATATTCGCAAAGTTTAGATACTACATCTTTTGCAAAGAGCTACCAATTGTAAGTCATCCAAAAGTAAAAAGTTAACTTTGATGCTATTGGTTTCATCATGATTGATTGTTTTTGATATATATTATTAGGTGTTGAAGGCTATTGTTCATGGAGATGGGAGCTTGTTGAACAACTATCCAGAGTTACAAGAAGCTCCTGTTTGGGTTTATTTCCATTCCAATGTGGATGAGTTCAACAGAGTTGAATGTTGGGGTCCTCTTTGGGAAGCTACTACTACTTCACCTGATGATGGTCACAGGACTCAAACTCTTCCTGAGGCACACTGTGTGGATGAGTGCAGTTGTTGTTTCCCACCTGTTATCTCGATTCCCTGGTCTCATAGTCTTAGTAATGAAGTATCTAATGATTACCCTGGGGCTCAGGCCGAGGGAATGTCTACTCCTAATCCTGAAAAACACTAATTAAACAAAAAACTTTTTGGTGGTTTGTAAATTGTGAATGAAATGGAAAGATCATTGGTTTGGTTTGGTGTACATAAAGTGGTGTAGGAAACTAATGATTGTTTGTAGGTTTGATAATACAAAGTTTTAAAAGTGTTTAATACTTTGCGTCTTCTCTTGAGTATTTGACCCATCAAAGTGTTTTGAAGTCAAAGAATTTTATAGTTTTATTATGAAAACTTAAACAAAAGGGTGATACTATTCATAAGAATCATCACCAAAAGTCAAGTTATTATTATGTTAGGAATAGTCATATAGTTAGTATTAACTAATTCACACGTGAAATGTAAAAGAGATTGGGAGAGACGGCCAAAAAGAGTTGTCTGGTCTACGATACAAAGCTCTACTGGCCACTCCCTGCTTAGAATGATATTCCAAAATCATTCTTTTGGATTTTATGTGGTCTCTCTTTCCTTGCACTCTTCTTGGTTGTTTGTTAAACCAACCAAATAAGACTTGACTTTGTTTATCTGACCCCATCCGTCTATGTCTACCTGTAATTTACAACGACATTTGGGAAGAGACAAAGAAGTAAAACATAATTTAAGACATGCCAGATAAGGTTTCATCTTCTGCTCCGATTACAATTGTCTTTCCATCAAGGTACAGAACACGGTAATGTGTGTCGTCAAGTCAGAGTTGCAATCTAGATCAAAGAATGTGATGGTAGTGTTTCACTCTGTCTCAGAGGTAGACTAAAACAAAACCAAAGTATAATTAGTTTTTTGGGGGGGCTAGATCAGTCTCATATTTACCTATAAAGGTTGGTGAATTAAATTTGTATTAGATTCAGAGTATTTCTGATTTACACTTTCTGTTTTGTTTTTTTCTCTTCCTTTTTATATAAAAAGAGATCCCCAAGAAAGCTCCTCACGCCAAATCGGTCTGCTTCACAATGGAGGAGGAGCTACTCCACGGGATCACTCTGAGACGAGAACCAAACTTGAATGAACAAAAGGAGTTGTTGGTGATGATTGCAGATACCGCAGAAGCTTTTCTTTTTCTATACCATCAGCGAATGCCTAAGCTCCTGCCAAATTAGAACAATATAATATAAGCATTTGTTGTTCCATTGATATATGTGCATATCACACTGAAAGACTTGATTCAGACCATTATAGAACTTTCTCGAAAGATAGTGGTTGCGTAATTGCTTCATTGGCTTACCTATTAGTGGTCCATCGCTGGTTTGTTTCGGAGATTATTCCACTGTTACCAGCCTGTATCTGTTGTCCAGCTGAAGAGACCGTTTTTTCAGCTGCAGTCAGTCTTGTTACCTGTAATGGATTCAAGAAATTAGAAACCTCCTGTGTAAGTGGTTGCTGCACACGCTACTGTTTTGTAACAAGTTTAGAGCATACCTCATTTCCTGCTTGGTAAGAGTTCACTCTATTTTCCTTGAAGCCCTTAACCAAGCATAGATTGCAACTTAAAGGTTAGACTTGGAAAATGAGAAATTACAAATCAAGTTAAACTGAGTTTCACAAGCCTCACCTTTGCTTGAAGAGATCTTGTACGAGATCCATTGTTTTGGTTAAGCTCGGATTTGATGGAGAGCTGCAGGTTAATAAAAACTGGATCGGGTCAAGAAACTAGTTTGTTTAAAGAAATATCATACGTCAAGCAAAGAGTCGTACCTTGCTGAAAAGGTCTGTTGGTAAATCTGGTTGAACCCTCTTTTCTGAATGAAAACTAAACTCCTGTGTTTTATTTCCGAAAACAGGTTTATCCTTATCAGGAAACTCCATTAACAAAACATACAGAAGATCAAGTGCAAAGAATAACTGTTAAGGTTATTATACCAAAGGTACTGTTGTTTCTCGCTTGCTATTTTTGAAAATGCCCATGTCTCCTCTGCTTGAAAGTATCTGTTTCTCAGGAGAGGATACCTATATTAGGTGTGAGAATTATAACGCAAGCGGAGGAGACTCTAAGAAAATATAGTACCTTCTTGTTCAGAGGGCGAGCTTTAAAAATGTGTTTTCCGTCTGAGACATCATGCTTAGATATATCCATAGCGCTTGGTCTGCAAGAGAAATCAAACTTTAAGTTGAACTGAGAAACCAAGTAATCATTCTTAATTTTCTATGTGATTCTGTAAGTCATACCTCCTACTTTCCGTGTTAACACCTGTCATATTAGATCTGTCTGACCCCTGTCATAAAGAAAACTCACTTTTAAGGATTAAGTTGTTAAGAAGAGAGAAGAGAACTTGTTAAGATCAGAGAGCACGAGATAAAACTAATAGAAAGCAATTTTGTTGCTACCTTATACACATCATTCCCCAAATTAGACCTTGTTCTTACTGCTGAAGAATGTTGCGTAGCCCTTTCTGAAGTCTTCAAATGGAATTCCTGTTAAAAGACAGTTATTTAGCCCAATTCCTACACCCTAGTTTCGTGTTGAAACAGTATATAAGCTGAGACGAATTCATTTTATAACACTTACTTGGAACTCAGGTAGTTTTGGAGTACTCTTTTTCCGGATGGGCAATGAGGGAGCATCAAATATCTAGAGATCACAAGCAAGTTTGAGTTGAGCCTAGGCAATGAAATCATTTCCAGCTCATAAATTTTAGCAGCAGATACAAAGTTACAAACCTTTCGGTTAAATGGACGTGCTTTGAACCTATATACAGTTGTTGAGTCCTGTTCTAACTTGGCATCATTCTTGTGCCTGAAATAATCATTAGCAAAACATCATGTGAGATTTCACCTCTCCTGTGACAAAATCACTTTCAGAAGACATTTAGCCTCTAACCGTGTCCTGTGAGCCCTCTGCGATGTAGCAAAATCAGGCTCCTGTGGGACAGTACTTTTTTTCCTGGCCTGTTGTGAGTTTCTATCAAGAGTTGTATCCTGCAATACCATTTAGCAAATAATTAAACAGCTCGGAAAAGAGATCCCTTATTCACCAGAAAGGAAGTATCTTCTATATAAGCAAGATGAAAAGTATTCAACCAACAGAATGCTGACCTTCTTGGGTAATTTGTGAACAAAATTCATCTCCTGCTTTGTATCAGCAACCTGAAATAGAGATAAAATAACTTAACTTCAGATAAACCTAGCTAGCACATTGTCAAAAGGAACTAAACAATAACAATCACACTCTACCTTACGAAGAAGACCTCCATCAAGCTTCTGTCTTTTAGCCGCTTGAACTTCCGTCCCACACAAACTTTTCTCATGAATTTGATCTACTTGCATATGGAATTTACTATAGCAGCAAAAGAAGGTAGGTATTAGTTGAATAGAATTAAGCTGACAGAAGAAAAGTAGCAAGACTTAAACATGGTCCAACAGCCAGCCACCTGGCATTATTTTGTTTTGCTAACTGGCTAGCAGTAGGCTTCATTAACGTTGAGCTCCTTGGAGTTGGTCTAACGCTTGACTTAGGTCGGAACTTTGGTTTATCATTGTGGTTGTGATTACTAACCGTTGGCCCTGGTAAAAAGTAGAGAGAAAGTGAGACCACCACAAACAATAAATAAAATACCAAAGATGGACCACATCTAAAGGAACAGAACTGATCAAAAGTTAAACTTATTTTCAAGATAGTTAAAGAGCCTCTTTAGAATAGTAAGCTTAATCAATAATGGTAATGATGCTATTATATCAAAAAAGTTATCACCTTTGCATATAGGTTGACTTGAGACTTTCTTCAACTTACTACCTTGTTGAGATGAAAAAATCCCAAAACGGATTCCATTACCTGAACAAAACGAAAACAAAAACAAAAACAAAACAAAAAGAGGCTATAAACATATATCTACTTATCTAGTGGTCTTCTAACTTTCTACACACATATACTCAACTGAAAAAAAAGAGATGGAGGTACATAAGTTAACTCACCTGTCTCTCTACCCTTCTCACAAACATCAACGGCCTCTGATATCGTGGATGCAGCCTCGGTCTTATCATCAGAAACCTCCTCCTCCTCCTCACTAAGTAACAGTTTTGTTACGAAAGCTGAAATAAGTACAAAGGATGATTCTGAGAATAATAATTACAAAGAAATTAACAGCAAACTTTTTGAACAAAGGGAATATAATAATGATTCAGAATTGCAACCGAAATCAAATATTACTGTAAAAATCAATTTCACCGCATCTGCAACGGATATTATTGTACCATTTTTTCAACAGCTAGAATCAATCGAAAAAAAGTAAGACGAAATGTAGACAAAAGCATTCTCTCTGAGTAAAGCTGCAATCGGCTTATGATGATGATGATTACTTACGAGAAGGAGCGTAGGAAGGAGCAGAGTGAAACCAGAACTCAGCGGATTGAGACTCCGCCGGTGACTCCATCCGAGTGAAATCGAACCACCGAGCCGCGTCAAACTCGTACTCTAGATCAATCTCTCTCGTCTCCAACACTGTTTGCTCCATTTCCATATCTTCATCCATCTCCATTCTCAACCTCAACAGTCAAATCACTGATCGTCTTCTACACAAACCTAAACTCACCACATGGAGTTAACAAAAACAAAACCCTAATTTTTCTACAGATAGAAAAATGCTCTGATAATGAACAAGAAGAAGAGGAAAGGAGAAGCAGGAAAAGGAAAATAACGGCACAAATTTCGCTGTTTCACAGATTTTGGTTTCTCAACAAAACGGAAAGAAAATATAACCAAGGAAAACGACATCGTCTTGCGCTCCGGGTTTTGTAACGACTCCAAATTTTGAATTTTGATTAGGACTTTGGATAAGACGATAATGTCCCTCATATGTGAGAAAGTATGTTAGGGTGGTTTCGTCAATTCGAATGGGAAAGAGAGAGGGAGCGCCATTTTTTTTTTTGGGGTGCCTTCGAGGCGCGTCTCTATGGGTCTTCGAGCTTTCTCTTGGCTTTCTACGAGGACTGTAAATTCCGGCGGGATGTAAAATTACCCTTCACTTTTGTGTTTATTTACGTTGTATACCACTAACGGTTGTATTCTTTTGTCAGGTATATTGCGCTTTCTCAGTCAAAACATATGTTTATGTGACATCATTTTCCTTTTCCATATGGAACTTATAAGATTACAAAATTGTGGGGATCCTGTTCTAGAGAGACGAGACTTAGTTTGGGAGCGTCTTACGCGTTTTTCAACAACAAGAGATGGACCTTGGTTCATGATAGGGGATTTTAATGAAATTACATGTCATGCAGAGAAAGAAGGAGGCAGACAACGTTCTGATAGCTCTTTTCTGCCCTTTAGGCAGATGTTAAGTGATTGCGGTATGCTGGAGTTCCCATTTACAGGAAACATGCTTTCTTGGGTTGGAAATAGAGCAGGCAGGACGACTGTTAGATGCCGACTTGATAGGGCTGTAGGGAATGAAATTTGGCATGAAAAATTCCCTCATTCGAAAGTGAAGTACATGAGACTATGGGGATCGGATCATCGTCCGATTCTAGCTGATATTCTGCGAAAGAAACCTAGAAGAGCAAGGAACTTCAAATTTGATAAGAGATGGTTAGATAATGAGGAGCTCAGACAAATTATACTAGAGGGGTGGAAATCACCGGATCTTCCACCAGATGCAAGTATAATGGAGCANGATAGAAATACTAAATTTTTTCATGCCCTGACGAAGCAAAGGCGAGCAAGGAACAGGATTACCCAACTACTGGATGCTGATGGAAATGTTGTGGAGGATGAGGAGGGGCTGGTAGCCATTGCTACTAATTATTTTAGACACATCTTTCAATCTTCAAATCCTGAGGCAATAGAGGAGGCACTCTCTGAAGTATCTACGACAATTACCTCGACAGATAATGCGAGTTTAACAGCCCCGGTCACTGAGTGGGAGGTTAAACTAGCTCTCTTTGCGATGCACCCAGAGAAAGCTCCAGGACCGGATGGAATGACGGCGCTGTTCTACCAGAAATTATGGGATATTGTAAAGGATGATCTAACTCTTATGGTTAATCAATTTCTTTTCGAGGGAACGGTGCCCTCTGGCTTAAATGATACCAATATATGTCTCATTCCAAAAGTGGAGAAGCCAAATCAAATGAGTCAGGTACGCCCTATTAGCTTATGTAATGTAAGCTATAAGATCATCTCTAAGGTCTTATGCCAGAGATTAAAGAAGTTCCTTCCAAATAGGATCTCAGAGACCCAGTCAGCCTTTGTTGCTGGGAGACAGATATCTGATAATATTATGATAGCACAGGAGTTGTTTCATGCTTTAAGAACAAAACCTAGTGGCCGGAACAAGCGGATGGCGATTAAAACGGATATGAGCAAGGCCTATGATAGAATGGAATGGTCCTTCATTGAGGCAACCATGAGGAAGATGGG